CTGTAGTGGGTGTAGGTGGTAATTGAGGCTGTATTGGGTGTAGGTGGTAATTGAGGCTGTAGGGTGAAGGCTGTATTGTATTGGGTAAGTGGTAATTGAGGCTGTAGTAAGTGTAGGTGGTAATTGAGGCTGTATTGGGTGTAGGTAATTGAGGCTGTAGTGGGTGAAGGTGGTAATTGCTGAGGCTGTAGTGGTGTAGGTAATTGAGGCTGTATTGGGTGTAGGTGGTAATTGAGGCTGTAGTGGGTGTAGGTGGTAAATTGAGGCTGTAGTGGGTGTAAGTGGTAATTGAGGCTGTAGTGGGTGTAGGTGGTAATTGAGGCTGTAGTGGGTGTAGGTGGTAATTGAGGCTGTATTGGGTGTAGGTGGTAATTGAGGCTGTAGTGGGTGTAGGTGGTAATTGAGGCTGTATTGGGTGTAGGTGGTAATTGAGGCTGTAGTGGGTGTAGGTGGTAATTGAGGCTGTAGTGGGTGTAGGTGGTAATTGAGGCTGTAGTGGGTGTAGGTGGTAATTGAGGCTGTAGTGGGTGTAGGTGGTAATTGAGGCTGTAGTGGGTGAAGGTGGTAATTGAGGCTGTAGTGGGTGAAGGTGGTAATTGAGGCTGTGGTGGGTGTAGGTGGTAATTGAGGCTGTAGTGGGTGTAAGTGGTAATTGAGGCTGTGGTGGGTGAAGGTGGTAATTGAGGCTGTAGTGGGTGAAGGTGGTAATTGAGGCTGTAGTGGGTGTAGGTGGTAATTGGGCTGTAGTGGGTGAAGGTGGTAATTGAGGCTGTAGTGGGTGTAAGTGGTAATTGAGGCTGTGGTGGGTGAAGGTGGTAATTGAGGCTGTAGTGGGTGTAGGTGGTAATTGAGGCTGTGGTGGGTGAAGGTGGTAATTGAGGCTGTAGTGGGTGTAGGTGGTAATTGAGGCTGTAGTGGGTGAAGGTGGTAATTGAGGCTGTAGTGGGTGAAGGTGGTAATTGAGGCTGTAGTGGGTGTAAGTGGTAATTGAGGCTGTAGTGGGTGTAGGTGGTAATTGAGGCTGTAGTGGGTGTAGGTGGTAATTGAGGCTGTAGTGGGTGTAGGTGGTAATTGAGGCTGTAGTGGGTGTAGGTGGTAATTGAGGCTGTATTGGGTGTAGGTGGTAATTGAGGCTGTAGTGGGTGTAGGTGGTAATTGAGGCTGTATTGGGTGTAGGTGGTAATTGAGGCTGTAGTGGGTGTAGGTGGTAATTGAGGCTGTAGTGGGTGTAGGTGGTAATTGAGGCTGTAGTGGGTGTAGGTGGTAATTGAGGCTGTAGTGGGTGTAGGTGGTAATTGAGGCTGTAGTGGGTGAAGGTGGTAATTGAGGCTGTAGTGGGTGAAGGTGGTAATTGAGGCTGTGGTGGGTGTAGGTGGTAATTGAGGCTGTAGTGGGTGTAAGTGGTAATTGAGGCTGTGGTGGGTGAAGGTGGTAATTGAGGCTGTAGTGGGTGAAGGTGGTAATTGAGGCTGTAGTGGGTGTAGGTGGTAATTGGGCTGTAGTGGGTGAAGGTGGTAATTGAGGCTGTAGTGGGTGTAAGTGGTAATTGAGGCTGTGGTGGGTGAAGGTGGTAATTGAGGCTGTAGTGGGTGTAGGTGGTAATTGAGGCTGTGGTGGGTGAAGGTGGTAATTGAGGCTGTAGTGGGTGTAGGTGGTAATTGAGGCTGTAGTGGGTGAAGGTGGTAATTGAGGCTGTAGTGGGTGAAGGTGGTAATTGAGGCTGTAGTGGGTGTAAGTGGTAATTGAGGCTGTAGTGGGTGTAGGTGGCAATTGAGGCTGTAGTGGGTGTAGGTGGTAATTGAGGCTGTATTGGGTGTAGGTGGTAATTGAGGCTGTAGTGGGTGTAGGTGGTAATTGAGGCTGTATTGGGTGTAGGTGGTAATTGAGGCTGTAGTGGGTGTAGGTGGTAATTGAGGCTGTATTGGGTGTAGGTGGTAATTGAGGCTGTAGTGGGTGTAGGTGGTAATTGAGGCTGTAGTGGGTGTAGGTGGTAATTGAGGCTGTGGTGGGTGTAGGTGGTAATTGAGGCTGTAGTGGGTGAAGGTGGTAATTGAGGCTGTATTGGGTGTAAGTGGTAATTGAGGCTGTAGTGGGTGTAGGTGGTAATTGAGGCTGTATTGGGTGTAGGTGGTAATTGAGGCTGTAGTGGGTGAAGGTGGTAATTGAGGCTGTAGTGGGTGTAGGTGGTAATTGAGGCTGTAGTGGGTGTAGGTGGTAATTGAGGCTGTAGTGGGTGTAGGTGGTAATTGAGGCTGTAGTGGGTGTAGGTGGTAATTGAGGCTGTAGTGGGTGTAGGTGGTAATTGAGGCTGTAGTGGGTGTAGGTGGTAATTGAGGCTGTGGTGGGTGTAGGTGGTAATTGAGGCTGTAGTGGGTGTAGGTGGTAATTGAGGCTGTAGTGGGTGTAGGTGGTAATTGAGGCTGTAGTGGGTGAAGGTGGTAATTGAGGCTGTAGTGGGTGTAAGTGGTAATTGAGGCTGTAGTGGGTGAAGGTGGTAATTGAGGCTGTAGTGGGTGTAAGTGGTAATTGAGGCTGTGGTGGGTGAAGGTGGTAATTGAGGCTGTAGTGGGTGTAGGTGGTAATTGAGGCTGTAGTGGGTGTAAGTGGTAATTGAGGCTGTAGTGGGTGTAAGTGGTGACAGGGACTGAAGTGGGTGCAGAGGAGGGTTACAGGGAGGGTTACAGAGTGCAGTAAGTGCAGGGGGAGGAGGGAGGAATAGGGTTGGTTGTGGGTGCAGGGGGAAATTTGGGTTGTAGTGGATGCAGGGAGGACAGGGACTGTATTGGGTGCAGTGGGATAGGGGCCATAGGAGGTAAAGGAGCTGTAGTGGATGCAGTGGGATAAGGGCTGTAGTGGGTAAAGGGGCTGTAGTGGTCAAGTTATGTTCAAGGCACCAGTACCCTGTAGAGACTGGTCCCTGCAGTGTATGCCCTCAGTTGATTCACTTGGTTGATTGTCTGTCATGCCAGGCTGACCTGCCAGTAAATTCTGCATGCCCACCGCTTTGGTTGGAGCTAATGACACCCATCCCTTTTACTCCCCTCTAACCAGCACAAAATAGTTTGTTTACTAAATACAAACTTTTAGTGAAATGATAACTGAATTGTAACATTTGAAAAGATGAAAACCTCTATAATTCTAGCAAAGTCACAGTTTGTCTATTTTAGCTTGAATTTTACAACTAAACTCAGTTCATTACAATCCAGTACTAAGTCAAACTTATTTGGTATTAGTGCATCACAGTCTGGTAAAGCAGTCACTAGGCTGAAGAGCTTATAATCTAGCAGTTAGGAAGATACTGTATTTATACTTAGAATTTAGAGAAGCGTTCATTGTGGGATTTGCAATACGGGAAATGCTTTTATTAATGGAAATTACAATAGACATGTGTATTATTATTTAATATTTCCTTCTGTCTGCATTGTAGACACAGAATAGTTTTGTCTAGTTTTTCACATCCTGAGTATTTCATCGTCTGCCATGTTGCAACACAATCAGTCAAGTAAGAAAGCTGCATGTATTATAAAATGTACCCCCTGTTTTAAGAGCAGTAAAAATTAGCATTTGTTTATTTAAAAAAAATCAGTGTCCCCTAATGAAAAATACCAAAAAAATTGTCAAATTAAAAAAACAAAAAATCAGTGTCCAGTTAAAATCGTGAACAGCAAAATACAGATGAAAAAAACGTGACAGTAAATGCAGTACAAAGTTAATAATATAAGGTTCAACTCACACTGGCTTTTACTGATTGTCCCAGAATAGGCTGTGTTTGTTCCAGGAGGACATTTGATACATGATGTACTCCCTGCGTTCTCCTGGTAAGATCCTGCAGGACACGACTGGCAGCTGTCTCCTTGGCCAAAGCTTCCAGCGGGACAAATAGCTACAATTTACAATTGACAGATATTATTCAGCGGTAATGTTCTAATCCAAGTTTTTACAAATACAATATATATTATCGGAATATCGATTAAAACATTTTAGAAATTAGAATACATAAGTCGTCTGTAAAAAAAAAATCTTCAAAAAAAAGTCTTTGTATTTAATGGTAGAGTATCCTGGTGCTGTTCCCCAGTATTGGGGCAAACTATTCTACAATGGTTTGCTCTCTTTTCAGATCTCCTCTTTAGGCATGTTTACGACATCCGGGTTCTGAAGACCTGCAGAAGTTAGATGTCGATCCTGGTGCTCATTCATTGGCTGAGATCATCAGCTGACCACGCTAAGTCCTTGAATTATGTGTCAGTGCATTTAAATTTGCTCAGAATTGACAATTACCAGCTTGGAACTCATGTTCTAGGGCGACTATCGAAGCCCCATGACGCTTATGGAGGTGGAGTTACACTTCCAGTATCAAAAGGGTTAAACTCAGTATATAAACACTGCACATACAGACTCCAGACACCATGACCACTTTAAATCATTGAAATGGTCAAACTGCTTGGACTAACCCTTTAACTATATCTTGTGTACATTAACCTTTCAATCTTTCTTATTGCATTCCGTTGCTCTTTTTTTTTCTCTGTAAGAAAAAGTGCTAACTTGTCGCTTAAAATTTTTTATTCAACAGAAAGTCTCCACTCGCATAAGAATTATGAACAATTTCAAGTGTATCGTTACACATTGCGCTGTCTGTACTACGTTAGCTAAGTACAAGAGAGGCGTTCCGTTCTGCTAATGTTTTAGAATTGTATTTAATTAAACACTGTGAAACAAAAATATCTGAACTATTTGCCAAAATTTATACAACCTGATATTTTAGACGCATACAAAGGCAAAAAAAAAGTAAAGTGAGAATTTCATACATATCGTTATTTTCCATTCCTTAATATATCCATGGCAGCATCACCAAAGGGCTAGCTTTGCCCCCTTGGCTGTTAAGGATGAGAAATAAAACCTTTAAATATACCCCCTAAGACTAAATATTAGGGATGTCCCGAACGGTTCGCCGAACGGTTCGCCACGGACGGCGAACATATGACCCTGTACCTCAAAGTCAGCAGACACATTCCAGCCAATCAGCAGCAGACCCTCCCTCCCAGACCCTCCCACCTCCTGGACAGCATCCATTTTGAAGCTGCATTCTTAGTGAGCTGTCCAGGAGGTGGGAGGGGCTGGGAGGGAGGGTCTGCTGCTGATTGGCTGGAATGTGTCTGCTGACTGTGAGGTACAGGGTCATATGTTCGCCGTCCGTGGCGAACCGTTCGGGACATCATTACTAAATATCCTCAGTGTAGTCCCAAGCTACTCAAATCAAAGGCAAAATTAAAAAAGTGTGGGAGACCCATGCTGCCATGGAAATATCCAGGAAAGGACAATTATGGTATGAAAACAATTTCACTATTCCTGGACAATACATACATACATACAATGTGATGGCAGATAAGAACCATTCGGTCCATCTAGTCTGCCCAATTTTCTAAAAACTTTCATTAGTCCCTAGCCTTATCTTATAGTTAGGATAGCCTTATGCCTATCCCATGCATGCTTAAACTCCTTTACTGTGTTAACCTCTACCACTTCAGCTGGAAGGCTATTCCATGCATCCACTACCCTCTCAGTAAAGTAATACTTCCTGATATTATTTTAAACCTTTGTCCCTCTAATTTAAGACTATGTCCTCTTGTTGTGGTAGTTTTTCTTCTTTTAAATATAGTCTCCTCCTTTACTGTGTTGATTCCCTTTATATATTTAAATGTTTCTATCATATCCCCCCTGTCTCGTCTTTCCTCCAAGCTATACATGTTAAGATCCTTTAACCTTTCCTGGTAAGTTTTATCCCGCAATCCATGAACCAGTTTAGTAGCCCTTCTCTGAACCCTCTCTAAGGTATCAATATCCTTCTGAAGATACGGTCTCCAGTACTGTGTACAATACTCCAAGTGAGGTCTCACCAGTGTTCTGTACAATGGCATGAGCACTTCCCTCTTTCTACTGCTAATACCTCTCCTATACAACCAAGCATTCTGCTAGCATTTCCTGCTGCTCTATTACATTGTCTGCCTACCTTTAAGTCATCAGAAATAATCACCCCTAAATCCCTTTCCTCATATGTTGAGGTTAGAACTCTATCAAATATTCTGTACTCTGCCCTTGGGTTTTTAGTCCAAGATGCATTATCTTGCACTTATCCACATTAAATGTCAGTTGCCACAATTCTGACCATTTTTCTAGTTTACCTAAATCATTTGTCATTTGGCTTATCCCTCCTGGAACATCAACCCTGTTACATATCTTAGTATCATCAGCAAAAAGACATACCTTACCATCAAGACCTTCTGCAATATCACTAATAAAAATATTAAGAGAATGGGTCCAAGTACAGATCCCTGAGGTACCCCACTGGTGACAAGTCCAAGCTTCGAATATATTCCATTAACTACAACCCTCTGTTGCCTGTCACTCAGCCACTGCCTTACCCATTCAACAATATTTGAATCCAAACTTAAAGATTGCAGTTTATTGATAAGCCTTCTATGTGCAACAGTGTCAAAAGCCTTACTGAAATCTAGGTAAGCAATGTCTACTGCACCACCCTGATCTATAATTTTAGTTACCCAATCAAAAAAATCAATAAGATTAGTTTGGCATGATCTCCCTGAAGTAAACCCATGTTGTCTCTGATCTTGAAATCCATGTGTTTTAGATGTTCATCAATCCTATCCTTTAACATGGTTTCCATCACTTTCCCCACTACTGAAGTAAGGCTTACTGGCCTATAGTTGCCCGACTCCTCCCTATTACCTTTCTTGTAAATGGGCACAACATTCGCTAACTTCCAATCTTCTGGGACTACTCCTGTTAACAATGATTGGTTAAATAAATCTGTTAATGGTTTTGCTAGTACACCACTAAGCTCTTTTAATAGCTTTGGGTGTATTCCATCAGGTCCCATTGACTTATTTGTCTTTACTTTTGACAGTTGAAATAGAACCTCTTCCTCTGTAAACTCATGTGTAATAAATGACTCATTTATCCTTTTTCTCAACTGAGGTCCCTTTCCTTCATTTTCATCTGTAAATACAGAACAAAAATATTCATTGAGGCAGTCAGCTGACCTTTATCCTCTTCTACATACCTTCCTTCTTTTGTTTTTAATCTAACTAATCCTTGTTTTACTTTTCTTTTCTCATTTATGTATCTAAAAAATGTTTTATCCCCTTTTTTACTGACTGTGCTATTTTCTCTTCTGTGTGTGATTTGGAAGCTCTTATAACTTGCTTAGCCTCTTTCTGCCTAATCTTATAGATCATTTTGTCTTCCTCACTCTGGTTTTTTTTATAATTCCTAAATGCTAACTTTTTGTTTTTAACTATTTTGGCCACATCTGCGGAGTACCACAGTGGTTTCTTGAATTTTTGCTTTTACTGACAAGCCTAATGCAATTTTCTGTTGCCTTCAATAGTGCAACTTTTAAATAATCCCATTTTTCTTGGACTCCATTTAAATTGCTCCAGTCTGATAATGACGCCTCTACCCATATTCTAACTTTAGAAAAGTCTGTTTTTCTAAAGTCTAAAACTTTTGTTTTTGTGTGGTGTGACTCAGTCACTGTTCTTATATTAAATCCATGGCAGCATCACCAAAGGTTCGTAATCATACTCAGGGCCGCCATCAGGGCATGACAACCGCAACGGTTGTCATGGGCCCGGCGGTCCTGGGGGGCCCGGACTGCTAAGGTCGTCCGGGCCCCACATTCAGTGGGTACATACAGGGTCGCAGGGGGCAACTGCTACAAAAAGACATATCCATGTTATTTTGAAGTTAAGCTTGAGGTCCTGACATCCAAAGTATAATGCTTACTGAAAGTAAGTGCTTTACAAATGTTTTTGCTGCAGCTGCCCAAGAAGTCGACATTGCTTAGGTGGAATCTCGATTCATTCTTTCAGGAATGGGAAGATTATGTGTCTCATAAGCACGAGCAATAGCTTTGATAATCAATAGAAGCAGTTTGACTTTTACATGATTTAGAAGGTAAGATAAATAGATGCGAAGATTGTCTCCAGTCCTTCAATCTGTCCAAAAAAGGGGAAAAACATCTCAAGACATTCAAGGTGTGCCTGTTTTGCATCTCCTTAGAGGAGGGTGAAGAAAAAAAGGTAGGAAGGAACACATCTTCATTCAGGTGAAATTGAGAAATTACCTTGGGACAGAAATCAGCTCTAGTACTAAGGACAACTGTATCAGTAAAGAAGGTAATCAATGGTTCTTGAGAAAAAAAAGCCTGAATTTCTGAGACCCGTCTGCCAGACATGATAGTGACACCAAAAACCAAAGAGAAGCATCTTGAAGGAGTTCAAAAGTGAACTTGGATAAAGCTCATGAGGACCGCTGGATTATCCCACGGAGAAGGAACAGTCCTTGGAAGGCACCTTGGCCATCAAAGAATTTAGGCTAAAGCCTTTATCAAGACCAGATTACAAAGATTCCCAAACCGCAGAAATAGAAGGAGAGGTCATGACTATCTGATGCAAGGAACACCAATCTGCAAAAATCGACCAAATCCTGTTGTAAGTCGAATTAATAGAATGTCTTCCGTACTGTAGAAGAGTGGACAAGACAGTTGAAGAAATGCCCTGCTAATTTTTCTGGCTCTATCTTCATGCCGTCAAATGCAGAGTTTCCGGAGCCTGAAACAGTACTGGTCCTTGCATAAGTGGATCCTGAAGGACTGGCAACTTCCAGGGTGGGGCAACTGACAGTCTGCACAGTAAAGGAAACCAGGGCCACCTGGGACAAAAGGGAATGATCGCTATCACCTCTACCCTCTCCTTGAGGACTTTCTTCAGTAACCTCCTAAGTAGAGGAACTTGAGGAATGTTATATGCCAGATTGGGAAAGATAGTGTGTTTGTGAGGGTGCTAGAGGGTGCTGTAGACATGCGAAGAATGCTGAAATTTGGCAATTGAGGCATTACCATCAGATCCACATCTGGTCTGCCACAGGTCGCCAGACAATTTGTTTGAAGACCATCGAAAGCACCTCTCTCCCAAAAAGAACACCTGTCATTCCAGGCTTTGGGACTTCGATGATCTCTCCTAGCTTGTGTTAAAAAAAAGTATTTTGCCCTCTCTGAAGGCAAAAAGAAGAGAAAATTGCCTAAAAAGGAAGACCACACACTATTTTTTGAAAATAGTTGCGCTTCTCAGCACTTAAGCCAAAGGACACTACAGGCAATCACAGAGAGGGCTATATTTCTTGTCAAATTCTCAGAATCCAAAAGGGAAAATCTACATACCCACTTATTAATATCCTCTTTCAAAAGAGATAGCCATCTCATAAGAGTTTTGGAGATAGACGTTAAAGCTACAAGATGCCAACAGATTGAACTTGCAGCTACATAATTTTGATAACCATATGTCAACTCTTCTATCCATCGGGTCTTTAAAATAGCATCGTAATCTATAGGTACACTTCACACCAGTCAGATTAGTTAACCAAAAAAAAGAAGAAAAAAAAGAGCCGGCATCATAAATAGGGGCAGCAGTTTTTCTACCTAATCTCACAATGGCACTGTCAACATTTGGGGCTGAATCCCAATTAGAGGAGTCCTACAGTGCCATGCAAAAGTATTCACCCCCTTGGCATTTTTCATGTTTTGTTGCCTCAGAACCTGGGTTGTTTGAGGATTTGCATCATTTAATTTACAGAACATGCCCACAACGTTGAAGATTTTTATTTATTTTTTAATCTGAAGCAAACAACAAATAGGACAAAATAACAGAAAAGGTCAATGTGCATAACTATTCACCCCCCTAAAGTCAATACTTTGTAGAGCCACCTTTTGCGGCAATCACAGCTCCAAGTCGCTTTGGATAAGTCTCTATGAGCTTGCCACATTTTACCATTGGGATTTTTGCCCATTCCTCCTTGCAAAACTGCTCCAGCTCCTTAAAGTTAGATGGTTTGCGCTTGTGAACAGCAATCTTTAAGTCTGACCACAGATTTTCTATTGTATTGAGGTCTGGGCTTTGACTACGCCATTCCAACACATTTACATGTTTCCCCTTAAACAACTCAAGTGTTGCTTTAGCAGTGTGTTTGGGGTCTTTGTCTTGCTGGAAGGTGAACCTCCGTCCTAGCCTCAAATCACGCACACAATGGTATAGGTTTTGCTCAAGAATATCCCTGTATTTAGCACCATCCATCTTTCCCTC